GTTGATATTGCATTGCAACATGAGAGCTGCTCAAGAGAGCGATGTTATTCTGCAGACATTTGATGAGAAGGGCATTTGGACTCTAGCAAAGGTGCAGGAATGACCATCGGTGCATGTCTCTCTATCTGACAAAGGTTAATGTGCAGGAATTAAAATGTGTAAAGGTCGTGGTATTCCGTCAAAGAGACGGCGTAACATTAGACTCCTGTCACCGAACTGGGGTAACCTCACACACACACACACACACACACACACACACACACACACACACACACACACACACACACACACACACACACACACACACACACACACACACACACACACACACACACACACACACACACACACACACACACCACACACACACACACACACACACACACACACACACACACACACACACACACACACACACACACACACACACACACACACACACACACACACACACACACACTCATTAGACTAAATTAGACTCAATCAATCCATCGATCAGTGTGTCTGCGAGTCCAATTTAGCTCGGTGTCACTGAATTAGGCCAATTACCCTGATGTGACTGAGCTGTCTTCTTAGATTAGCGTTAATAATCTGAGTCACAGTGTGTTCTGGTTTGATGACACTGGAATACACAATGTTTTAAAGTTGTGAATAAAACAAATGTACTTTTTCCAAGAGATTCTCCCAGCCTTTCCCCCATAGGAATGAATGGGGAATCGACCTGAACCAAGCTCAAAATCACCCGACTTTGAAGTCATACTGATTCGCCATACTTTATCGTAGGTGAAAGATTAAAGGTTTAAACAGCTCTCCAGACTCTCAGCTTTATTGGACTAAAAGGGTTTTATGATAGACTGAACAGTTCTCATGAAATCCCACAGTTTCAGTTTTGGTACATTTTCACTGTTTCAGATGTTACAATGGGTGTGTATGGGACGGAATGTTCGCAGTGATGACTTCAGAGGGTCTTTCAAACCCCCTGATCTTAAACCTGCTCTAAATGCCATAATTATCACTCTTTTTCACATCATTTAAAATTCTTCTAGAAGCTAAATGAGTCAGCAATGTCTCGATGCTATCATGATATCAAACTGACTTACAAATCTGGCACACAAGTGTCTTTGAATGATAAAAACTCTGGTGTTAAACTTCTGAATGAGACAGAGGATACCTTGTACTTTCTCTAACACCCTTTTAAAATTAAAATAAAACCAATGCCTCCATAACGCTGGCAATAAGTGCATCAGGGCCGACAACAAGTGGCGGTCACACAGCGAGGGGACGTTCTAGTTATAATTATTGATTAAAAACATTAATATTGATGATTTAAAATCCATTTGAGAGTATATTTACAGACCTGGAAGTTGTTTACAATGCCTATAAACATTTCTCCTCGTCTCCATTTGTTCCCCTGACTTCCAGACTGAGACCAGACCTCATGAGTGGAGTTTCCGTACTTCAGCAGCACCTGCAGAAAAAGACACAACAACAACAGATTCTGATTAAATCCCTTCAACACGGATCATTTCTCCTGTTTTCCCTCCTCGTACCTGCAGTGATCCCACGGTGAACCCGCTCATGTGGTACCAGAAGACCAGAGTGCATTGTGGTCCGTTGGAGGTCATAACAGGTGTTTGGAGGTCGCTGGTTTGACCGTATCCTCCGTTTGAGCTGTCGGCGCACATGTACCATCCCTCTGGACCCCCGCTGGCAGAGAAACACGGATTCAAATCAGAATTATGGCCCAAACATCAAGTCCAAAGTGAAAAAGTGCCACCTTATCCTCCGTTAGTGAGCTTCCACATGTCTTATTGTGTGTTGGTGCTCCCAGTTAAAGCCTAATTGCTCATACGTTGCATTAAGTCACAAGCTATTTCACTTTACTTTCCAAATAATTAACTATTATTAGGTATTAACACTTAAACACTTACCATCTGAATAGTTTAACCAATTAACGCATATTTAGGAGATGACGGGATGTTTGGATCTGTGCGGAGCTGCGAGCTTCATAAAACACACATCCACAATGTTTATATGAGTTAAGATACTACAGATGAAGTTATTCTTTGCCTATGTTGATTATCAGTTTTGGAAACCAGAGCTAACAACGGTCTGATCAAAGTTATTGAGCTCGACATCCAGCAAGCTTTAAACTGCCAATTACAATGTAATATGAGTTTCGCTGTAATTGCACTTAGTCTTTTTTATGCTTCACTTCTTTAATTTCTCACAAGACGTGCAGCTCTCCCTCGGGTTAAATAAGACTCCATTTCACTCACGCTCTATTGATCTGGGTTGCAGCAGAAGTGAGGAAGAGGAGGAGGAAGAGGAGGAGGTTATGAAAAGACCAGGAAATGATGGATACACGGATCGTGTTCAAATCAATAGGCACGCAATGACTCTAAAGAATAATGATCACGCATCAAACACACATTCAGACTAAAGGAACCAGCTGTTTGGAAAATGAGAGAAGTAGAAAGTACAGGTATTTGAGTTCAACATGTAAGAAGTAGAAAGTACAGGTATTTGAGTTCAACATGTGAGAAGTAGAAAGTACAGGTATTTGTGTTCAACATGTAAGAAGTAGAAAGTACAGGTATTTGAGTTCAACATGTGAGAAGTAGAAAGTACAGGTATTTGAGTTCAACATGTGAGAAGTATAAAGTACAGGTATTTGAGTTCAACATGTAAGAAGTAGAAAGTACAGGTATTTGTGTTCAACATGTAAGAAGTAGAAAGTACAGGTATTTGAGTTCAACATGTAAGAAGTAGAAAGTACAGGTATTTGTGTTCAACATGTGAGAAGTAGAAAGTACAGGTATTTGAGTTCAACATGTAAGAAGTAGAAAGTACAGGTATTTGTGTTCAACATGTAAGAAGTATAAAGTACAGGTATTTGAGTTCAACATGTAAGAAGTAGAAAGTACAGGTATTTGTGTTCAACATGTAAGAAGTAGAAAGTACAGGTATTTGAGTTCAACATGTAAGAAGTAGAAAGTACAGGTATTTGTGTTCAACATGTGAGAAGTAGAAAGTACAGGTATTTGAGTTCAACATGTAAGAAGTAGAAAGTACAGGTATTTGTGTTCAACATGTAAGAAGTATAAAGTACAGGTATTTGAGTTCAACATGTAAGAAGTAGAAAGTACAGGTATTTGTGTTCAACATGTAAGAAGTAGAAAGTACAGGTATTTGAGTTCAACATGTAAGAAGTAGAAAGTACAGGTATTTGTGTTCAACATGTGAGAAGTAGAAAGTACAGGTATTTGAGTTCAACATGTAAGAAGTAGAAAGTACAGGTATTTGTGTTCAACATGTGAGAAGTAGAAAGTACAGGTATTTGTGTTCAACATGTAAGAAGTAGAAAGTACAGGTATTTGAGTTCAACATGTAAGAAGTAGAAAGTACAGGTATTTGTGTTCAACATGTAAGAAGTAGAAAGTACAGGTATTTGAGTTCAACATGTAAGAAGTAGAAAGTACAAGTATTTGAGTTCAACATGAGAGAAGTAGAAAGTACAGGTATTTGGGTTCAACATGTAAGAAGTAGAAAGTACAAGTATTTGAGTTCAACATGTAAGAAGTAGAAAGTACAGGTATTGAGTTCAACATGTGAGAAGTAGAAAGTACAGGTATTTGTGTTCAACATGTAAGAAGTAGAAAGTACAGGTATTTGAGTTCAACATGTAAGAAGTAGAAAGTACAGGTATTTGAGTTCAACATGTAAGAAGTAGAAAGTACAGGTATTTGAGTTCAACATGTAAGAAGTAGAAAGTACAGGTATTTGAGTTCAACATGTAAGAAGTAGAAAGTACAGGTATTTGAGTTCAACATGTAAGAAGTAGAAAGTACAGGTATTTGAGTTCAACATGTAAGAAGTAGAAAGTACAGGTATTTGAGTTCAACATGTAAGAAGTAGAAAGTACAAGTATTTGAGTTCAACATGTAAGAAGTAGAAAGTACAGGTATTTGAGTTCAACATGTAAGAAGTAGAAAGTACAGGTATTTGAGTTCAACATGTAAGAAGTAGAAAGTACAGGTATTTGAGTTCAACATGTAAGAAGTAGAAAGTACAGGTATTTGTGTTCAACATGTAAGAAGTAGAAAGTAAAGTATTTGTGTTCAACATGTAAGAAGTAGAAAGTACAGGTATTTGAGTTCAACATGTAAGAAGTAGAAAGTACAGGTATTTGAGTTCAACATGTAAGAAGTAGAAAGTTCAGGTATTTGTGTTCAACATGTAAGAAGTAGAAAGTACAGGTATTTGAGTTCAACATGTAAGAAGTAGAAAGTACAGGTATTTGAGTTCAACATGTGAGAAGTAGAAAGTACAAGTATTTGTGTTCAACATGTAAGAAGTAGAAAGTACAGGTATTTGAGTTCAACATGTAAGAAGTAGAAAGTACAGGTATTTGAGTTCAACATGTAAGAAGTAGAAAGTACAGGTATTTGTGTTCAACATGTAAGAAGTAGAAAGTACAGGTATTTGTGTTCAACATGTAAGAAGTAGAAAGTACAGGTATTTGAGTTCAACATGTAAGAAGTAGAAAGTACAGGTATTTGAGTTCAACATGTAAGAAGTAGAAAGTACAGGTATTTGTGTTCAACATCTAAGAAGTAGAAAGTACAGGTATTTGAGTTCAACATGTAAGAAGTAGAAAGTACAGGTATTTGAGTTCAACATGTAAGAAGTAGAAAGTACAGGTATTTGAGTTCAACATGTAAGAAGTAGAAAGTACAGGTATTTGAGTTCAACATGTAAGAAGTAGAAAGTACAGGTATTTGAGTTCAACATGTAAGAAGTAGAAAGTACAGGTATTTGAGTTCAACATGTAAGAAGTAGAAAGTACAGGTATTTGAGTTCAACATGTAAGAAGTAGAAAGTACAGGTATTTGAGTTCAACATGTAAGAAGTAGAAAGTACAAGTATTTGAGTTCAACATGTAAGAAGTAGAAAGTACAGGTATTTGAGTTCAACATGTAAGAAGTAGAAAGTACAGGTATTTGAGTTCAACATGTAAGAAGTAGAAAGTACAGGTATTTGAGTTCAACATGTAAGAAGTAGAAAGTACAGGTATTTGAGTTCAACATGTAAGAAGTAGAAAGTACAGGTATTTGTGTTCAACATGTAAGAAGTAGAAAGTACAAGTATTTGTGTTCAACATGTAAGAAGTAGAAAGTACAGGTATTTGAGTTCAACATGTAAGAAGTAGAAAGTACAGGTATTTGAGTTCAACATGTAAGAAGTAGAAAGTTCAGGTATTTGTGTTCAACATGTAAGAAGTAGAAAGTACAGGTATTTGAGTTCAACATGTAAGAAGTAGAAAGTACAGGTATTTGAGTTCAACATGTGAGAAGTAGAAAGTACAAGTATTTGTGTTCAACATGTAAGAAGTAGAAAGTACAGGTATTTGAGTTCAACATGTAAGAAGTAGAAAGTACAGGTATTTGAGTTCAACATGTAAGAAGTAGAAAGTACAGGTATTTGTGTTCAACATGTAAGAAGTAGAAAGTACAGGTATTTGTGTTCAACATGTAAGAAGTAGAAAGTACAGGTATTTGAGTTCAACATGTAAGAAGTAGAAAGTACAGGTATTTGAGTTCAACATGTAAGAAGTAGAAAGTACAGGTATTTGTGTTCAACATGTAAGAAGTAGAAAGTACAGGTATTTGAGTTCAACATGTAAGAAGTAGAAAGTACAGGTATTTGAGTTCAACATGTAAGAAGTAGAAAGTACAGGTATTTGAGTTCAACATGTAAGAAGTAGAAAGTACAAGTATTTGAGTTCAACATGTAAGAAGTAGAAAGTACAGGTATTTGAGTTCAACATGTAAGAAGTAGAAAGTACAGGTATTTGTGTTCAACATGTAAGAAGTAGAAAGTACAGGTATTTGTGTTCAACATGTAAGAAGTAGAAAGTACAGGTATTTGAGTTCAACATGTAAGAAGTAGAAAGTACAGGTATTTGAGTTCAACATGTAAGAAGTAGAAAGTACAGGTATTTGAGTTCAACATGTAAGAAGTAGAAAGTACAAGTATTTGAGTTCAACATGTAAGAAGTAGAAAGTACAGGTATTTGAGTTCAACATGTAAGAAGTAGAAAGTACAGGTATTTGAGTTCAACATGTAAGAAGTAGAAAGTACAGGTATTTGAGTTCAACATGTAAGAAGTAGAAAGTACAAGTATTTGAGTTCAACATGTAAGAAGTAGAAAGTACAGGTATTTGAGTTCAACATGTAAGAAGTAGAAAGTACAGGTATTTGGGTTCAACATGTAAGAAGTAGAAAGTACAGGTATTTGGGTTCAACATGTAAGAAGTAGAAAGTACAGGTATTTGAGTTCAACATGTAAGAAGTAGAAAGTACAGGTATTTGAGTTCAACATGTAAGAAGTAGAAAGTACAGGTATTTGAGTTCAACATGTAAGAAGTAGAAAGTACAGGTATTTGAGTTCAACATGTAAGAAGTAGAAAGTACAGGTATTTGAGTTCAACATGTAAGAAGTAGAAAGTACAGGTATTTGAGTTCAACATGTAAGAAGTAGAAAGTACATGTATTTGAGTTCAACATGTAAGAAGTAGAAAGTACAGGTATTTGAGTTCAACATGTAAGAAGTAGAAAGTACAGGTATTTGAGTTCAACATGTAAGAAGTAGAAAGTACAGGTATTTGAGTTCAAAATGTAAGAAGTCAAAGTAAAAAGTCGTCAGAAAAATAAGTAGTGGAGTAAAGTACTGATACCAGAAACATATACTTAAGTACAGTAACAAAGTATTTGTACTCCACTACTTCCCTCCTCCATCTCTCTCCATCTCTCTCTTCTATTCTCTCTCAGCTTCTCTCTTCTCTTCTCTCTCAGCTTCTCTTCTCTTCTCTCTTCTCTTCTCTCTTCTCTTCTCTCTCTTCTCTCTGAGAGGAAACGCTCCTGAAATCTCTCTAGTTCTGACAGCCTTATGGCCCCTACAAGTTTGTGTAATGACAGGTTTTATTTTCCACTGAATGATTGGAGGGGTATCTTTTTGGCAGGGAGATTTATATATTTCAGGATCCTTCATGTTTTATATCCAGCAAGAATATAACAGAAGAGGAATCTGAGGGTTACAGAATGTGCTGTGAGGAAATCAATCCATTCGTTTAACAGAGAGGTGAGAAGAGGATGTGTTTGTTTGTACAAATCTCTTCAGCTTGTGTTGAATAAGTAGTGGAGTAAAGCACTGATACCAGAACAATGTAGTTAAGTGCAGTAAGGAACTATTTGTACGTGGTGTGGTCGTTGATGGGTCTGTGGCTCTGCTCTCCATCGTGGATGCTCTCTCCTTGGACCGGTGACCAGCGAAAAGCATGAGTGGAGACGAGAGAGGAGTCGTTGCTCTGCCAGCCGCAGGTGTCCCCGCCCTCGAAATCACAACGCTCCCTCACTGGAGGAAGAGGAAGAGGGAGAGGAAGGAAAAGGGTGGGAGACATTAGACACTGTGTGGTTAATATGCGGAATAAAAAAGTCAGAAAAAAGTCAAGATTATGAGAAAGAAGTCAGAGGAAATAATTATGAGAGAAGAAGTCCGGAAAAATAGTTAAAATTGTCAGAAAAAAAGTCAGAAAAATATTTATCTCCATAATCTTTTGTCTATGTAATGTCAAAAGAAATAATGCCACAGATGGTCAGCTGGTGAAAGAGTAGAGAGGGAAACATTACACACAGTGCAGTAAATGTGAAATCTTTACCACAGTATAACTCGTCCGATCCGTCAGAACAATCCAGACTGAAGTCACACACTTTGCTGTCGGGAACACACTCTCTAAAACTCCCACAAGCAAACTGTCCATCAGGGCAGACGTGGGGCCGAACAGTGGGTGGGGGGGTCGTCACTGAGGGGGTCGTGGTGTTAACATCCGGGAGATCACCTGGCGGAAAGAACGGCGGAAAAGAATTCACACAAAGTGTTATCATATATTCTAACCTTTTCTGACTTTTTTCTCATAGTATTATTGATGGAGTCATTTTTATTTACCGTCGTGTGGTTCACAGTCCAGGAAGGAGAGGTCATCGATGGCGATGTCTCCGTTAAAATCATCCCCGACTGTTCCTTCTATCACGATCTGACAAAGAGGAGAGGAGAGCAAGAGAGAGGCGTTTATAAGCTGTACTACATACACTTCATCTTAAGCAATTTGGTTTAAGGACAGAACATGTCGGAATTCTGGGGAATAAAGTCAGGGGAAAAAAGTCAGGGGAAAAGTGGGAATTATAAATAAATAAGATCCCCACATGCCCCTGACCCTCTACCCGCTGCAGTTACCTGGAAAGGCCTGGCGCTGGTCAGGTACAGGGTCTTCCGGTGCCAGAGGTTCCCCTGATCTCCGTATCGGACCCACAGCATGTGACCTCGACCCGAAGAGGCGGTCCTCATGAACACACCCAGGCAGAACACGTGGGACCCGAACATGTGGTAGTGGAACCGGAAGACGCAGTGTTTCCTTCCCCCCCACTGCACGGTGGGTCTGAAAGCCCGGCTCAGCAGAACCGCAGAATCTTTGAACTCCTGAGGGCCCGAGGACTCGATGTAGAGGTAGTGTCCGGCGCTGGTTCCCAACGTGTGGTCCTTCCAGGGTCCGGTGTTCAGGGTGGGCGTCGGGCCCTGGATGAGGGTCCAATCAAACACGTCCCCTCCGCTCTGCTCCTGCTTCCAGCTGCAGAGGCCGTGCTCAAAACTGCACTGAAGCTCCGGAGCTGTGAGGGAATCCAATTAGTCTTCACTTCGCTGGCCGCAGCCTCAAATTCACCTCCAATTTCAACTTCTGATTAATCAACTATTACCACCTGTGCGAGGACATCAACTCTGCTTCAAATCAAGAACCCATTCTGATGATTATCTTCAGCAGCTTCATTTCAGCTCTCAACACATTTCTCTCAATAATTACAACAGAATTCAGATTCTAGATGGATTTGGAAAAGCCAAAATGTATCAGTACTTTTCTCCAACATTTCAGACTCTTTTGGTTCCAATTATAGACGAATATCGTTAGAATATAAATCTTAAAGCTTTGAGTGCAGGTTTCAATAGTTCAGGTACTTAATGTGTATAACAACAAAGTTGTTAGCTTGGATCCATCCATGGTTTGTTTTCATGTTAATTGCATCAGCTGATAATTAAAAAAGAACCCTTTAAAGCCCGTATTTACTGTTCATACTGTATATACTTATATATATCTGTTTATTCCTATATTATACGTTTGCACTTCCGGTCGGATGTTACTTCATTTGTTGTCTCAATACTGTCAATAAAGTTGAATGTAATCTGTATATTTACTACATATTAAAGGAAATATAGTCCTTTTTTTGTGCACTGCAGTTATTTCACATATTTAGGATCCAGGTATAGATAGATTTTAAAATGTAATACTTCCGGAAGTAAACTATGGGCCTCTTAAGGTGAAGAACATTATATTCTGAATATCTAAAATAAAAGTCACACTCACAACACCCCTCCTATGTTTATTCTTATATTATACTTTTGCACTTCCGGTCAGATGCTACTTCATCTCGTTGTCTCAATACTGTCAATAAAGTTGAATCTAGGCGTTTAAGGCAAACTAATGATAAAGCCTCTTGAAGTGAAGAGCCTAAATAATCAAAGTCCCACTCACAGCAGCCCTGCTCGTCCGAAGCGTCTCCACAGTCGTCCGTGAGGTCGCAGCGCTGCATCTGCTCCACACACGCCTTGCTCTCTGCGCAGTGGAAGTGCGTGTGAGCCGGACACTCCTTCACCGCAGGGGGCATGGAGCAGTTCCTGAAGGTCACGTCGTCCAGAGCGGAGACGCCGTCAAACACCCCGAGGCTGATCTTACTGAGGGCGATCTGGAAAGGCTTGGTGATGCGACCCAGCTGCACGGAGACGAGGTTCCACAGAGAACCCTGGTCGTAGAACGTCTTCCAGATCACCGTCTGGTTCTGCTCTCCGTCCATCCGGAGGTACATGTCTGCAGCGCCCACCGAGAAACCAGAGTTATAGTGCCTGGAGAGGAGGAAGGGGAGGAGTTAAAGTTTCAATTACAAATATGCAGAGATGTGGGCTTAAGTGGTGCAGGGATGAGTCTTAAAACCCAGACATTACGGAGAAACCGGAAAGGAGGAAGGGGAGATAGAAAGTATTAATTTAACCCTAACTCTAACCCTGGAGAGGAAGAAGGGGAAATTAAGATGGCAAATATGCAGAGATGTGGGCTTTCTGTGGTGCAGAGAGGTGCAGGAATGAGTCTTAAAACCCAGACATCAGTTATAGTGCCTGGAGAGGAGGAAGGGGAGATGGAAAGTGCAGGGATGAGTCTTAAAACCCAGACATCAGTTATAGTGCCTGGAGAGGAGGAAGGGGAGATGGAAAGTGCAGGAATGAGTCCTTAAAACCCAGACATCAGTTATAGTGCCTGGAGAGGAGGAAGGGGAGATGGAAAGTGCAGGAATGAGTCTTAAAACCCAGACATCAGTTATAGTGCCTGGAGAGGAGGAAGGGGAGATGGAAAGTGCAGGGATGAGTCTTAAAACCCAGACATCAGTTATAGTGCCTGGAGAGGAGGAAGGGGAGATGGAAAGTGCAGGAATGAGTCTTAAAACCCAGACATCAGTTATAGTGCCTGGAGAGGAGGAAGGGGAGATGGAAAGTGCAGGGATGAGTCTTAAAACCCAGACATCAGTGATAGTGCCAGGAGAGGAGGAAGGGGAGATGGAAAGTGCAGGGATGAGTCTTAAAACCCAGACATCAGTTATAGTGCCTGGAGAGGAGGAAGGGGAGATGGAAAGTGCAGGGATGAGTCTTAAAACCCAGACATCAGTTATAGTGCCTGGAGAGGAGGAAGGGGAGATGGAAAGTGCAGGGATGAGTCTTAAAACCCAGACATCAGTTATAGTGCCTGGAGAGGAGGAAGGGGAGATGGAAAGTGCAGGGATGAGTCTTAAAACCCAGACATCAGTTATAGTGCCTGGAGAGGAGGAAGGGGAGATGGAAAGTGCAGGGATGAGTCTTAAAACCCAGACATCAGTTATAGTGCCTGGAGAGGAGGAAGGGGAGATGGAAAGTGCAGGGATGAGTCTTAAAACCCAGACATCAGTTATAGTGCCTGGAGAGGAGGAAGGGGAGATGGAAAGTGCAGGGATGAGTCTTAAAACCCAGACATCAGTTATAGTGCCTGGAGAGGAGGAAGGGGAGATGGAAAGTGCAGGGATGAGTCTTAAAACCCAGACATCAGTGATAGTGCCAGGAGAGGAGGAAGGGGAGATGGAAAGTGCAGGGATGAGTCTTAAAACCCAGACATCAGTTATAGTGCCAGGAGAGGAGGAAGGGGAGATGGAAAGTGCAGGGATGAGTCTTAAAACCCAGACATCAGTGATAGTGCCAGGAGAGGAGGAAGGGGAGATGGAAAGTGCAGGGATGAGTCTTAAAACCCAGACATCAGTTATAGTGCCTGGAGAGGAGGAAGGGGAGATGGAAAGTGCAGGGATGAGTCTTAAAACCCAGACATCAGTGATAGTGCCTGGAGAGGAGGAAGGGGAGATGGAAAGTGCAGGGATGAGTCTTAAAACCCAGACATCAGTTATAGTGCCTGGAGAGGAGGAAGGGGAGATGGAAAGTGCAGGGATGAGTCTTAAAACCCAGACATCAGTTATAGTGCCTGGAGAGGAGGAAGGGGAGATGGAAAGTGCAGGGATGAGTCTTAAAACCCAGACATCAGTGATAGTGCCAGGAGAGGAGGAAGGGGAGATGGAAAGTGCAGGAATGAGTCTTAAAACCCAGACATCAGTTATAGTGCCTGGAGAGGAGGAAGGGGAGATGGAAAGTGCAGGGATGAGTCTTAAAACCCAGACATCAGTTATAGTGCCTGGAGAGGAGGAAGGGGAGATGGAAAGTGCAGGGATGAGTCTTAAAACCCAGACATCAGTGATAGTGCCAGGAGAGGAGGAAGGGGAGATGGAAAGTGCAGGGATGAGTCTTAAAACCCAGACATCAGTTATAGTGCCTGGAGAGGAGGAAGGGGAGATGGAAAGTGCAGGGATGAGTCTTAAAACCCAGACATCAGTTATAGTGCCAGGAGAGGAGGAAGGGGAGATGGAAAGTGCAGGGATGAGTCTTAAAACCCAGACATCAGTTATAGTGCCTGGAGAGGAGGAAGGGGAGATGGAAAGTGCAGGGATGAGTCTTAAAACCCAGACATCAGTTATAGTGCCTGGAGAGGAGGAAGGGGAGATGGAAAGTGCAGGGATGAGTCTTAAAACCCAGACATCATTTATAGTGCCTGGAGAGGAGGAAGGGGAGATGGAAAGTGCAAGAATGAGTCTTAAAACCCAGAAATGACTTTTGAACACACGTACTCTTCTTGCACTATTTCTATTCTATTTTATTTGTATTTACTTGCACTATTTTATCTGTTTTATTGTGTTGTTATTTTGGAGGAGCCTCAGATTTTCATGTATATATCTATACTGTAGCTATGTACACATGACAATAAAAGCCTTGAAATCTTGAAGACCTTGAAACTTTTTCTGGAAGTAACTGTCTTTTTAATTGCGTTATCTAATTCCAATTATAACTAGTGATAAGAATGTAGAGAAGTCATACTGTAAAAGCAAATAATGGCGACTCATTGGTCAATGGGGAAGTAATTAGCATGCTCACAATGAAAAGGCTAACATGATGAAACTAATGGCAATGCAAAGTTTCAGGCAATCAATCCAATGCAATAGAGTGGTGCAGGAATAAGTCCTAAAACCTGGAAATGACTTAGTATTTTACCACTTCCTGTCCCCTGGCCTGGAGGTCAATGGTTTACTGAATGTGTTTTTGGTTGTTATCCTGAAATAAGGTCTGTGGTTAACACAAGTTGAAGATATTTTAACATCTTGTTCCACAAACACATCCTCTTCTCACCTCTCTGTTAAACGAATGGATTGATTTCCTCACAGCACATTCTGTAACCCTCAGATTCCTCTTCTGTTATATTCTTGCTGGATATAAAACATGAAGGATCCTGAAATATATAAACCTCCCTACTAAAAAGATACCCCTCCAATCATCCAGTGGAAAATAAAACCTGTCATTACACAAACTTTTAGGGGCCATAAGGCTGTCAGAACTAGAGAGATGTATGAGGGGCCGTACAGGCCGTAATTCATACTGGTCCTCTCACGCACATACATTCTTCTTTTACATACATATATTTTCACTCTTACATACATACATTCTCCTTTCACATACATATATTTTCACTCTTACATACATACATTCTCCTTTTACATACATATATTTTATAATATATGCATGTCTGAAGAGAATATATGTATGCAAGTGAAGAATGTATGTATGTGTGAAGACAATATATGTATGTGAGAGAAGAATGTATGTATGTGAGAGAGAAAGTATAGTGGAAACGGAAGGAGTATGGTTGAAACGGAAGGCAGGTCATTCTTGCGCTGTGATTGGCTCAGAAGGTCGAGTGGGGCGGGCTCATGTTCAGAACTTCTGATTCAAATCAACATGATGGAGGGAGAGGGTTAGGGTTAGATGACTCCGTGTATCTACGGACCACTTGTTTTTCTTTATTAAACAAGTAAACAGAAGAGTGTCTGCCTTCCTAAACGGTCTAATGGTCATTGTAGCGGGGGGGGGGGCGCGATACTCGCGGAAGTGATTTCAAAACAAAAGCACTCGTTTGCTTGGAACGTTGAACATAATTATAAACAAGGGGGAAACAAGGTGAATTTAGCGATCACAACGAAAACGGCCCAGACACACATTGAGCCCAGAAAATGAATGTTATTAAGGCTGTAAATATAATAAGCATGTGTCTAAAATGGACAACATTGTTAGGAGATTTAAACTATACAGCGATTCTGCGGTCACTCAGCCGTCTCTCGCGTTTGTCTTTTCAAATCAGCTGCTCTTCATATTTTACAAATATTTGTTACTGAAAGTTCTTAATAAAACTGACACTGTTGGACTCGAGGGGAGAAGAATACATGGACAACATTGTTAGGAGATTTAAACTATACAGAGAGCCGTTTTTTCAAATCAGTAGCTCTTCATTTTCTTTTTACAAATATATTTTACCACAAGTTCTTCATAAAACTGACACTGTTGGACTCGGTACTAGTTTGACTGCTACTAACAATACATTGAAGTACTTTTACTGTGTACTTTGTGAGAAATACTCTGTCAAAGTCCCCTCCATATAGCACATAATCTAATGCATCAGTCCGTCCCAGGCGGGAGTTTATAAACCAAAGAGTAACCGCCCTTACGGCACGCTCTGATAAGTAAAGCGAACGCACCCGCAAGGACACCTGGCCAGGGATGTGACAGTTTCAGGGGTTGACAAAATGTTCCTTAAAACCCCTAATGCTTGCTGCAATCTACGCGATTCATCTCCCTCCATCATGTTGATTTGAATCAGAAGTTCTGAACATGAGCCCGCCCCGCTCGACCTTCTGAGCCAATCACAGCGCAAGAATGACCTGCCTTCCGTTTCAACCATACTCCTTCCGTTTCCACTATACTTTCTCTCTCACATACATATATTCTCTTCACACATACATACATTCTTCACTTGCATACATATATTCTCTTCAGACATGCATATTATAAAATATATGTATGTAAAAGGAGAATGTATGTGCGTGAGAGGACCAGTATGAATTATGGCCTGTACGGCCCCTCATAGATTTCAGGAGCGTTTCCTCTCAGAGAGAAGTAAGAGAAGCTGAGAGAGAAGAGAAGAGAGAGATGGAGGAGAGGGAAAAATACAGAGGTGGGAAGAAGTGGAGTACAAATACTTTGTTACTGTACTTCAGTACATGTTTCTGCCAGTACTTTACTCCACGACAACTTTTAACTTTCTACTTCTTACATGTTGAACACAAATACCTGTACTTTCTACTTCTTACATGTTGAACTCAAATACCTGTACTTTCTACTTCTCACATGTTGAACTGAAATACCTGTACTTTCTACTTCTCACATGTTGAACTCAAATACCTGTACTTTCTACTTCTCACATGTTGAACTGAAATACCTGTACTTTCTACTTCTCACATGTTGAACACAAATACCTGTACTTTCTACTTCTTACATGTTGAACTCAAATACCTGTACTTTCTACTTCTTACATGTTGAACTCAAATACCTGTACTTTCTACTTCTTACATGTTGAACTCAAATACCTGTACTTTCTACTTCTTACATGTTTAACTCAAATACCTGTACTTTCTACTTCTTACATGTGAACTCAAATACCTGTACTTTCTACTTCTTACATGTTGAACTCAAATACCTGTACTTTCTACTTCTTACATGTTGAACCCAAATACCTGTACTTTTCTACTTCTTACATGTTGAACTCAAATACCTGTACTTTCTACTTCTTACATGTTGAACTCAAATACCTGTACTTTCTACTTCTTACATGTTGAACTCAAATACCTGTACTTTCTACTTCTCACATGTTGAACCCAAATACCTGTACTTTCTACTTCTCACATGTTGAACACAAATACCTGAACTTTCTACTTCTCACATGTTGAACACAAATACCTGTACTTTCTACTTCTCACATGTTGAACACAAATACCTGAACTTTCTACTTCTTACATGTTGAACTCAAATACCTGTACTTTCTACTTCTCACATGTTGAACCCAAATACCTGTACTTTCTACTTCTCACATGTTGAACACAAATACCTGAACTTTCTACTTCTCACATGTTGAACCCAAATACCTGTACTTTCTACTTCTCACATGTTGAACACAAATACCTGAACTTTCTACTTCTTACATGTTGAACTCAAATACCTGTACTTTCTACTTCTTACATGTTGAACACAAATACCTGTACTTTCTACTTCTTACATGTTGAACTCAAATACCTGTACTTTCTACTTCTTACATGTTGAACCCAAATACCTGTACTTTCTTACTTCTTACATGTTTGAACTCAAATACCTGTACTTTCTACTTCTTACATGTTGAACTCAAATACCTGTACTTTCTACTTCTTACATGTTGAACACAAATACCTGTACTTTCTACTTCTTACATGTTGAACTCAAATACCTGTACTTTCTACTTCTTACATGTTGAAACCCAAATACCTGTACTTTCTATTTCTTACATGTTGAACTCAAATACCTGTACTTTCCTACTTCTTTACATGTTGAACACAAATACCTGTACTTTCTACTTCTTACATGTTGAACACAAATACCTGTACTTTCTACTTCTTACATGTTGAACCCAAATACCTGTACTTTCTATTTCTTACATGTTGAACTCAAATACCTGTACTTTCTACTTCTTACATGTTGAACACAAATACCTGTACTTTCTACTTCTTACATGTTGAACACAAATACCTGTACTTTCTACTTCTTACATGTTGAACTCAAATACCTGTACTTTCTACTTCTTACATGTTGAACACAAATACCTGTACTTTCTACTTCTCATCATGTTGAACTCAAATACCTGTACTTTCTACTTCTTACATGTTGAACACAAATACCTGTACTTTCTACTTCTTACATGTTGAACTCAAATACCTGTACTTTCTACTTCTTACATGTTGAACCCAAATACCTGTACTTTCTACTTCTTACATGTTGAACTCAAATACCTGTACTTTCTACTTCTTACATGTTGAACTCAAATACCTGTACTTTCTACTTCTTACATGTTGAACACAAATACCTGTACTTTCTACTTCTTACATGTTGAACTCAAATACCTGTACTTTCTACTTCTTACATGTTGAACCCAAATACCTGTACTTTCTATTTCTTACATGTTGAACTCAAATACCTGTACTTTCTACTTCTTACATGTTGAACACAAATACCTGTACTTTCTACTTCTTACATGTTGAACACAAATACCTGTACTTTCTACTTCTTACATGTTGAACCCAAATACCTGTACTTTCTATTTCTTACATGTTGAACTCAAATACCTGTACTTTCTACTTCTTACATGTTGAACACAAATACCTGTACTTTCTACTTCTTACATGTTGAACTCAAATACCTGTACTTTCTACTTCTTACATGTTGAACACAAATACCTGTACTTTCTACTTCTCACATGTTGAACTCAAATACCTGTACTTTCTACTTCTTACATGTTGAACACAAATACCTGTACTTTCTACTTCTTACATGTTGAACCCAAATACCTGTACTTTCTACTTCTTACATGTTGAACTCAAATACCTGTACTTTCTACTTCTCACATGTTGAACACAAATACCTGTACTTTCTACTTCTTACATGTTGAACACAAATACCTGTACTTTCTACTTCTTACATGTTGAACACAAATACCTGTACTTTCTACTTCTTACATGTTGAACTCAAATACCTGTACTTTCTACTTCTTACATGTTGAACACAAATACCTGTACTTTCTACTTCTCACATGTTGAAACACAAATACTTGTACTTTCTACTTCTTACATGTTGAACACAAATACCTGAACTTTCTACTTCTTACATGTTGAACACAATACCTGTACTTTCTACTTCTCACATGTTGAACACAAATACCTGTACTTTCTACTTCTTACATGTTGAACACAAATACCTGTACTTTCTACTTCTCACATGTTGAACTCAAATACCTGTACTTTCTACTTCTTACATGTTGAACACAAATACCTGTACTTTCTACTTCTTACATGTTGAACTCAAATACCTGTACTTTCTACTTCTTACATGTTGAACTCAAATACCTGTACTTTCTACTTCTTACATGTTGAACTCAAATACCTGTACTTTCTACTTCTTACATGTTGAACTCAAATACCTGTACTTTCTACTTCTTACATGTTGAACTCAAATACCTGTACTTTCTACTTCTCTCATTTTCCAAACAGCTGGTTCCTTTAGTCTGAATGTGTGTTTGGTGCATGATCATTATTCTTTAGAGTCATTGCGTGCCTATTGATTTGAACACGATCCGTGTATCCATCATTTCCTGGTCTTCTCTAAAGAAGAGGGACCAATGGAAACGTTGTCATGTTGCCGTTGTTCAGCATGGAAACATTCATTAGCTAACAATGACATTATTGTTCTATTAATATAAAGGGAGGTCAGGTACTCTTTAAAGCAGCTGCTAGTTATGAGTACTTTTTACTGAAGTACATTTCAAAGCCTCTTTACTTTCACTTGAGTAAAGAAGTTTAGTCAGTACTTCTACTTTCACCAGAGTGTTTTTAAACACGAGTATCTGTACTTCTACTCGAGTAAAGGATATGTGTACTCTCTGGAAATAGATGGAGAGAAACACAAAGACAGAGAGCAGACAGTGTGAAGAAGCTTTAGATAAAGAAGCGACAGAGTGACTCTCACCAGAAGGTCATGGTACACCCGGAGGCCGACTGCTTGAACCAAGGTCCTCTGAGAACTGCTGTTGGATAAAGACTGCTGCTGTTCTTCAGAATGAACATGAAATGGCCTGCAGAAACACAGGAGGCATTACTATTCACACCATGTAGTTCAGCCAGAAAGTGAATCACAGTTACAGACAATCAAGAAGAATATCATCTGCTAAACGCCCTCGCTCATTTCTGTTGTTCTGGATCAGTTTAATCCTCTCAGAAACATCCTTTCTCTTTGGGGGTTTGGTGCACAACAGTGTAAAGCTAGTAAGAATCATGAGGTAAACAAACACATAATGAGGGTGAACCACCTTCAGAGCTGGGTTTGACTTCTGAAAAACTGCCAACAAAACAGGTCATAATGGATTAAAGTCATTGCTAACCCTATATCGCCGTAGAACATATTTTACAGTAATTTAATCCTTAACTTATTCTACAATTTATATATAACAAGTGCTTTTACTTTACGCATAGAGTCATCAGCTGTATCAACCCTTTACTCGCAACTCTTAAGCTTTTTAAAGACTAGTTAGCATGTCATAAAGGTAGCTAACGTAAGCTAGCAAACTAGTTAGATAGATAGCAAACGTTATCTAGCTTGTGAAGTAGATAGCTAATATCATATGAGGTTTTGGGCTATTTTCACAAGTAATCCTGTTAGTAACTAACCATTTTTACTTGCCTGACAATCTCCAAATATATAATGTCGCACCAAATCACACGGAGTTGTTGCTACTCTACTTAGCAAGTTAGCTTTAGCAGGCCTTTAGCTTGCTTCGTTTTTACTCCCGTTTACTGTATTTAATAACCCCCCCCCTATTTCTGAGTGAAACAACACACTGAATGTACAGGGTACAGTTCATTAAAAAGGATATGTTTTGTTAACACAGAGAAAAATGAAATAAGAAGATTTATATAATGAATTTTAAACCCATCAGCTAGCTCGCCATCAGCTAGGTCGCCAATAGCAGCTTTTTGATAGCATATTTTTGATATAGTAAAATACACAGTTTATGGGTCAAATGTAAAAAACAGCTTCCTGTGTTAGCTATATTATGACGTCGTATGTAGGTAAAATGACAAAATGATTATTATTATTATCTATTTTATTCTATTTCAATGTCGTTTTTTGTGGTTATGGTCCTTTTGTTTGTTTGTTTTGTTTGGTATTGCTGACCCTGGTAGAATGGTCTCTTTTACTCCCTTTATTGTACATGTGCGGGTGTATGTATGCTTTGTGTATTTGACAATGTCCCACATAAATCATATATAAAAAAAGATGACAAAGTGAAAAGTACATTTACATTGGAGGCAGTTCTGTGTTTTGGCCGTGTTTGTTCTGCACAGTATGAGATGTTGTGCTGAAGTTTAACTCAGCTTGAACACGACCAGAAACCTGCACATTGTTCTGAATCTTGAACGGTCACAGTTATATTTTCCAAACCACCGAACAGATGCTACGTGTCATTTCACACAGACTGAAGCGTGTGAAGAAGATTCCCAGAAACATAACAGGGCCTTCAGTTCATCTTCTCCAAATCTGAGCGTCTTTCACAACAACAACAGATGGTGCTGCTATAAAAAAAACCTGTTATCAAATCAATTTACAGCCAGATTTCTTGTTAAATCCATAAATCCAACCCTAAAAATGTAGTGTTTTCTGGGAATGAGATCGAGAAAGTGGATATATTGATAAAAACCTAGCATAGTATTGATTATTCTAGAGAGGAATAGGGTGTTAATATGCAGAATGGGTACAGCATCAATTTCCTTTCTATTATTCGGCTGGCTGAGAATCCTCCATGAAGAGCTTTATCTCTCATAACACACAGACCAGGGATTTTTCTTCCCTTCCACGAAACCTTGATTCGACCCACAGATATCATCTTATCAGCTTTTTATAGAAGGATGATGGAATATTGCAGAGGTGGGAAGTGGAGTACAAATACTTCGTTCAGTACATTTTTCTGGTATCAGTACTTTACTCCCCTAATTACTTTCTACTTCTTACATGTTGAACACAAATACCTGTACTTTCTACTTCTTACATGTTGAACACAAATACCTGTACTTTCTACTTCTTACATGTTGAACACAAATACCTGTACTTTCTACTTCTTACATGTTGAACACAAATACCTGTACTTTCTACTTCTTACATGTTGAACACAAATACCTGTACTTTCTACTTCTTACATGTTGAACTCAAATACCTGTACTTTCTACTTCTTACAAGTTGAACTCAAATACCTGTACTTTCTACTTCTCACATGTTGAACACAAATACCTGTACTTTCTACTTCTCACATGTTGAACACAAATACCTGTACTTTCTACTTCTTACATGTTGAACACAAATACTGTACTTTCTACTTCTTACATGTTGAACACAAATACCTGTACTTTCTACTTCTTACATGTTGAACTCAAATACCTGTACTTTCTACTTCTTACATGTTGAACTCAAATACCTGTACTTTCTACTTCTCACATGTTGAACACAAATACCTTTACTTTCTACTTCTTACATGTTGAACTCAAATACCTGTACTTTCTACTTCTTACATGTTGAACACAAATACCTGTACTTTCTACTTCTTACATGTTGAACACAAACACCTGTACTTTCTACTTCTTACATGTTGAACACAAACACCTGTACTTTCTACTTCTTACATGTTGAACTCAAATACCTGTACTTTCTACTTCTCACATGTTGAACACAAATACCTGTACTTTCTACTTCTTACATGTTGAACTCAAATACCTGTACTTTCTACTTCTCACATGTTGAACACAAATACCTATACTTTCTACTTCTCACATGTTGAACTCAAATACCTGTACTTTCTACTTCTTACATGTTGAACTCAAATACCTGTACTTTCTACTTCTTACATGTTGAACTCAAATACCTGTACTTTCTACTTCTTACATGTTGAACTCAAATACCTGTACTTTCTACTTCTTACATGTTGAACCCAAATACCTGTACTTTCTACTTCTTACATGTTGAACTCAAATACCTGTACTTTCTACTTCTTACATGTTGAACTCAAATACCTGTACTTTCTACTTCTTAGATGTTGAACTCAAATACCTGTACTTTCTACTTCTTACATGTTGAACTCAAATACCTGTACTTTCTACTTCTCTCATTTCCCAAACAGCTGGTTCCTTTAGTCTGAATGTGTGTTTGGTGCGTGATCATTATTCTTTAGAGTCATTGCGTGCCTATTGATTTGAACACGATCCGTGTATCCATCATTTCCTGGTCTTCTCTAAAGAAGAGGGACCAATGGAAACGTTGTCATGTTGCCGTTGTTCAGCATGGAAACATTCATTAGCTAACAATGACATTATTGTTCTATTAATATAAAGGGAGGTCAGGTACTCTTTAAAACAGCTGCTAGTTATGGGTACTTTCTACTGAAGAACACTTCAAAGCCTCTTTACTTTGACTTGAGTAAAGAAGTTTAGTCAGTGTAGAGGAAACTTCTGTGTAGCATGCAGTGGAGTCACCGACTCAGGAAGGAGACACGGGAAGAGTCGGAGCTTTGATGTCAAACCACTGTGATTTATTTGGAGTTGGTACCAGAGTATTCACATCACAAGTCCAAGAGTCAGAGGTTCTGACTTCACGGTAGAGTTGCCACGTCAATTCTGGAGAGCCTCTCTCTTGCCAGCCCATCTAACTGGTTTCGCAGAGAGTAAACAACATATTTGAGGAGATAGCCTAAACAGTGTGGGAACACAGAGCTACTTGCCTCGGACACTTATGACCTCGAAGATTTTACCTTGGAGTTGACAAATACAGAGAAGGAAGTGTCCCAGTGTACCCACAACACAGACCATCTGTATCCCAGTATTGACCGGTCACAGAATGGGAACAATAACATTATTGGCTAAGCCGCCTGTGTCCTTAAAGAAGGTAAACAGACATCGAGGTTTGTCCTGTATGTTACAAATTGGCGTCTTATGATAATTATTTCCATAACAGTCAGTACTTCTACTTTTACTAGAGTATTTTTAAACACGAGTATCTGTACTTCTACTTGAGTAGGATGTGTGTTTACCTTCAGTGCTGTTGGTGGAGTGGTCCAGGATGGTAGTCTGGAGGAAGCCTGGAGGAACTTCCTCAGAAGAACCTCTAACCCAATCAAAACCATCGCCGAGGGTGAGCTCGTACCATCCACAAGATCCACCCTCAAAGTCACAATCAGAGGCTGAATGAGCAGAAAAAGAGAGCATTATTTCTATTATTTGGAGACATATTTACTTAATAAAGGCTAAAAAACAGTCTTTGTTTACTCCTGGAATATAGTGACATCATTATGGACCGTCACGCTCCTATTGGCTAGCACTCCAACACATTGCACGTGATGGTTGACCAATCACAACAGAGCTACTTTAAAATAGAGCCACTACATACTGATATACACCTGAACATCAGCAGGAGAGGACTCTTTAAAGTAGAGACACTACATACTGATATACACCTGAACATCAGCAGGAGAGGACTCTTTAAAGTAGAGACACTACATACTGATATACACCTGAACATCAGCAGGAGAGGACTCTTTAAAGTAGAGACACTACAGACTGATATACACCTGAACATCAGCCGGAGAGGACTCTTTAAAGTAGAGACACTACATACTGATATACACCTGATCATCAGCAGGAGAGGACTCTTTAAAGTAGAGACACTACATACTGATATACACCTGAACATCAGCAGAAGAGGACTCTTTAAAGTAGAGACACTACATACTGATATACACCTGAACATCAGCAGGAGAGGACTCTTTAAAGTAGAGACACTACATACTGATATACAACCTGATCATCAGCAGGAGAGGACTCTTTAAGTAGAGACACTACATACTGATATACACCTGAACATCAGCAGGAGAGGACTCTTTAAAGTAGAGACACTACACACTGATATACACCTGAACATCAGCAGAAGAGGACTCTTTAAAGTAGAGACACTACATACTGATATACACCTGAAACATCAGCAGAGAGGACTCTTTAAAGTAGAGACACTACATACTGATATACACCTGATCATCAGCAGGAGAGGACTCTTTAAAGTAGAGGACACTACATACTGATATACACCTGAACATCAGCAGGAAGAGGACTCTTTAAAGTAGAGACACTACGTACTGATATACACCTGAACATCAGCAGGAGAGGACTCTTTAAAGTAGAGACACTACATACTGATATACACCTGAACATCAGCAGGAGAGGACTCTTTAAAGTAGAGACACTACATACTGAATACACACCTGAACATCAGCAGGAGAGGACTCTTAAAGTAGAGACGCTACATACTGATATACACCTGAACATCAGCAGGAGAGGACTCTTTAAAGTAGAGACACTACTATCCTGATATACACCTGAACATCAGCAGGAGAGGACTCTTTAAAGTAGAGACACTACATACTGATATACACCTGAACATCAGCAGGAGAGGACTCTTTTAAAGTAGAGACACTACATCCTGATATACACCTGAACATCAGCAGGAGAGGACTCTTTAAAGTAGAGACACTACATACTGATATACACCAGAACATCATCAGGAGAGGACTCTTTAAAGTAGAGACACTACATACTGATATACACCTGAACATCAGCAGAAGAGGACTCTTTAAAGTAGAGACACTACATACTGATATACACCTGAACATGAGCAGGAGAGGACTCTTTAAAGTAGAGACACTACATACTGATATACACCTGAACATCAGCATGAGAGGACTCTTTAAAGTAGAGACACTACATACTGATATACACCTGATCATCAGCAGGAGAGGACTCTTTAAAGTAGAGACATTACATACTGATATACACCTGAACATCAGCATGAGAGGACTCTTTAAAGTAGAGACACTACATACTGATATACACCTGAACATCAGCAGGAGAGGACTCTTTAAAGTAGAGACACTACATACTGATATACACCTGATCATCAGCAGGAGAGGACTCTTTAAAGTAGAGACACTACATACTGATATACACCTGAACATCAGCAGGAGAGGACTCTTTAAAGTAGAGACACTACGTACTGATATACACCTGAACATCAGCAGGAGATGACTCTTTAAAGTAGAGACACTACATACTGATATACACCTGAACATCAGCAGGAGAGGACTCTTTAAAGTAGAGACACTACATACTGATATACACCTGAACATCAGCAGGAGAGGACTCTTTAAAGTAGAGACACTACGTACTGATATACACCTGAACATCAGCAGGAGAGGACTCTTTAAAGTAGAGACACTACATACTGATATACACCTGATCATCAGCAGGAGAGGACTCTTTAAAGTAGAGACACTACATACTGATATACACCTGAACATCAGCAGGAGAGGACTCTTTAAAGTAGAGACACTACGTACTGATATACACCTGAACATCAGCAGGAGAGGACACTTTAAAGTAGAGACACTACATACTG